GAGGTGTAGTACCTTGTTGGAGTTGCAGGAGGCCGCTAGGCGGCGCAAGTTGGAGATGGAGCTCCAGTTGAGAGAACAGAGGTAGGCCCCGGTGCAGTCGCAGCCTGCACCAAAGCGGATGAGGGCCGCTGATTATAGGCAGGGAGGTCACATAAGTCGCACTTGCGGGAAGTGCGGCAAGGTGCACGAGGGTAGTTGCCGTTCTTCTTCGGGGTGCCACAGGTGTGGCAAGGAGGGCCACATAGCCAGAGATTGTAGGCAGTCGACTCCATCTGCAGGAGTCCGAATTTGTTATCATTGTGATCAGGTAGGCCATATGAAGGCCCAGTGTCCTCTGCTGGCTGCCAGGTCAGTGCAGGCCCCAGCGCCATCCGCGTTGAGACTTACTGACGGGAGTCAGGGTCGGGCAGAGCCTCCGATGGCTCCAGGGCGTGCTTATCAGCTTGTGACCGAGGCGATCAGGTCTGAGCCAGAGGTGTCAGCCGGTATGTTTTTCTGCTTTATCTTGTTTATGTATGATTGAGTTGTTGTTTCTTGCATGAGATATAAAGTGTTGTATGTGTTAGAGAAGAGTTAGTATTGAGAGTTGTTAGAGAGATAGTATCCGGTGTGGAATTCGTGAGGAAGGAAGGTTATGGTTCGGGAATTCGGGAACTTTCAGCAGGAACTTAGGTTCCTTGAAGTTCGATGTATTAGTGGGGTTCGATTGAGCAGCGTGTTAACTTCTCCGCCAGTGGATAGGGGTTAGTGCCCTAAGTGGGGGAGAATTGGAAATTCTCGGATGAGCCGCTGGTTGTAGAAGGTTGTCTGACGCGGTTTGAATATTGGTTATTGGGATGGTGCGATGGGGCGGTTCAGTCATAGTAAGGGCTTTGCAAGTGTCGAAGATCTTTGAACCAGAGGTTGGATGATGCGTAGGCATGTTTTCAGTCTCCTTGGAAGAGGAGGGGGATAGTGTCTCCAGATTGGAGGTTTGGACAAAGGAAGGCGAGATAGAAGGTTAGCAGACTCGGGAGCAGTCTGGATCGGTGATGAGGACTGTACAGTCGTAGGTCAAGGACCTAGAGATCGTGTTAGGGAAGTATGAGTGGGTTATACTCAAGTGTGGCGAACCGGAGAGTTCGAGGGGGACGCAAGGACAAGGTCCTTGGTTCCGAGTATGGTTTTGGGTTTGGGTTATGTATGTGGAGGTATTCCAATCTGGGGTATTCCATCATGAGGATGACCGGACCCTATGATTGATTGGACCTGATGTGTTTGGTATTCCAACCCGAGGGTTGACTGGGCCAAACATGAGTAGGATGCGAGGGTATTCCATCCTAGGGATGAGCGGACCCGTCGTAGGCATGCCTTGTATTCCAGTCCTAGGCTGATTGGGCCAGGCGTGAGTGTTGGTTTCGGTAAGAGTATCGTTGTATGTTCGTTTGGGAATGAGCTAAAGAGGGAGTAAGTGTGGCCAACAGCAGAGTCTGACTCGTGGTCATGTTTTCAGGTTGGGAATTCAGGTTCCCACGGTGGAGTAGGTATCTCTTCGAGGAGGAGTGCCAGTGGGGCTGGCCTCCCTTAGTGGTCGTCACGCTTTAGGGGCGTGAATGTGCCTTTTGGGAGTTTGGGTAGCCAGAGTTGGCAATTGGCGATTTCGAGGACGAAATCATATTTAAGTGGGGGAGAATTGTAACGCCCCGTTCTAAGAGTAATTATTTATGGAATTCCCAAGATCAAGAGTAAGGGCGTTTCGGTCTTTTTATGGGCAATGGGTTTTATTCGAGAAGGCTTCGGGTCGGGGTGTGTTGCTAGAAGCGTAGGGCTTCTCGCCACCTTTTCGTGGATATAAAGTTCGTCGAAAACGGACTTAGAATAATGGAGTTATGGCACTTTGAAGATATTGACACTTATGACACTTAATGGAAAAAGTTGCCAAAGAAAGGCCATGCATGCTTGGGACACGCGTGGGTACGCCTAGCGTAGGCTGGGTTACGCCCAGCGTAATAGGGTAAATGAAACGCGGAGTTCCACGACGTACGCCCAGCGTACTGGATTTACGCCCAACGTACGTCCAGTGTCCAGAAACCCTAATTTTAGGGCCAACCACTATATAAGGAACATTATGGTTCCAACCCTAGCCTCCATATCTACCCTCTTACTCTCAGAAACCCTAAGTAGCCGTTTTCTTCCATGGTTGTGGATATTTGACCTTGGGGAGCTTGGTTTGGCAAAGGAAAGCCTAGGAGAAGAAATGAAAAGTTGTCAAGAAAGGAGTTGGGTGGCTGGAGCTCGTAGATCTGGGAAGGCATCATCTTCTGGAGCCCTTTTGAGGTATAAAGCTTCTTGCTTGACATCTATTTTGTGTAGATCTATGTATGGTGAAGTTTTGACACCATTCTTGTCCCAAAAACCCACATCTTAATGCATGATGTGTTTTGGTTAAGATGAGCTGTCCTTTCAGACCATTGGAGAGGTCTTGAGTAAGAAAAATGAGGTCCCAATGGCTTTGGTTGTCCCATGTAAGAAGTAGGAAGGTCTTATTGGGTTAAGACCTTGAGTTAAGAGCTTTTTGGACGTCCCAAGTAATAAAGTTTGAGACTTTATGAATCCTAGGCATGTTTGGTCGATGGATCTGAAGTTTGGGCTTAAGAGCTTAAGCCATTAAGAACTTATGTGGAATTTTAGTTCAGCGAGCGTACGCCCCGCGTACCAGAGGAGTACGCCCAGCGTGCTCCCTCTGTTGGGTTTTTTATTTTGGGCCTTAAGTGATTGGGTTGTTTATGGGCTGGTGGGGCTTGGGCCGTGACTGAACATTATGGATGGAGTAATATAGACCCAATAATTATTATGGACCTTGGATCTAGGCCCATTTGGTGAGGTGGGCCCAATTTAGTAAATTGGGCCTATATTGGGCTTTGCATGAGGATTCGGTTTGGGTCTTGGCCCAATAAGAGGATGGTGGACTAATGAGTGTTGTGGGCCCTTGGCCTAGAAAGTCATGATGGTTTATAATGAGATGATTTTTGCATGTGATAGTTGGGATTCCCGGTGAATCAGCAGTCAGAGATTTGCAGGATTTTGGCAGTTGCAAGGTGAGTTTTCCTCACTGTACTCAAGGGTCTAAGACACCAAGGCCGGCCCTTTGAATTGTTGTTAGAGCTTGTTATGTTATGTGATGATATGTTTGCTAGTATCCTGGTAGATGAGATAGTGATATGAGGATATGCTTTGTTAGCTTAGTATCCTAGAGAAATGGATAGTTGTATGATGGCTAGTTCTGTTGGATCAGCGCCCTGGTAGTTGGGTAGTGATTATTTATAGGCCGGTAGTTGGTCTTACACTATGTACGCTGGTAGGAGGTTACCTGCGGGTTATGTATGTTGAGCAGTAGCAGAGGGTATTCCATCCCGGTAGGATGATAGGGCCCTAGTGTGTTGGTTCTGTAGAGTGTTATATGGTTGCCTGTTATGTGTACATGTCTACTAGTGTAGATTGGCATTCCAACCCGATGGTTGTGGGCCAGGAGTATTCCATCCCGGTAGGATGATCGGACTTAGAGTAGTTTGGCATTCCAACCCGATGGTTGAGGGGCCTGGGGTATTCCATCCCGAGGGATGATTGGACCCATAATAGTAGTAGTAGTAGTTACTGTATGTATAGGAAGTGGGGCATTCCAACCCGATGGTTGTGGGCCAGGAGTATTACATCCCGGTAGGATGATTTGACTCATAGTAGTTTGGCATTCCAACCCGATGGTTGAGGGGCCTGGGGTATTCCATCCTAAGGGATGACTGGACCCATAGTAGCTATTGTTGTACGTATAGGTGTTTGGGCATTCCAACCCGATGGTTGTGGGCCGAGAGTATTCCATCCCGGTAGGATGATTGGGCTCGCGTTATGTAGGCATTCCAACCCGATGGTTGAGGGTCGGGGGTATTCCAACCGGAAGGTTGATTGGACCCATAGTATGTTGTTCTTTGATGTATGTGTATGTTTGTGTGTGTATGGGTACTTTGGGGGAAACTCACTAAGCTTTCGGGCTTACAGTTGTGGTTTATTGTTTCAGGTGCTTCAGGAGATCGTGGCAAGGCGAAGGCGTGATCGTACCGCTCCTCATGTTTATGTTTTATGAGATATGGTTCTGGGGAAATACTCTGATGTTTAAACTGTTTTGAAAACAAGATGTATGAACGTAATGGTTTTTGAATGAAATAAAATGTTTTAAATTGGTTGAAATTTTTGGTCGTTACAATCCGGCATGATATCCACATCCAATTTCACTGTGGAACCTGGATTAGTCCTCAATAGCTCCAAACCATAACTCCTAAGCTTTTCATAGTGTGCCACCAAAATCCCTTCTATCTCATCCATTGCAATTTTTTTGGCATTTCTACACTGACCAAAACTATCTTTTAGATTAAAATCTCTAAGGACTGCTGTTGCCATTTTCCTGTAACTTATTCTTGGATTGTCTATTATGGTTTCCATTAACTGTTTTCCATTCCAACTATATGTGACCATTGCACCTAAATTAAATGCCCTACAACAGTTGTGTTCAGAGATTAAGGACTTAATCTGAAATGATCTTTCTTTACTCATCCAAGTTGCCCACAACCTAAAAGGGCATTTAGAGTTCTCTTCACCTTTGCAACATCTAACTAATAATCTAGTTGAATCATTTTTTCATACCACAGTTTATACCCATTAGCAACAGCATAACTGCTTAATAAATGCTTAAGTTCATAACGATCACAGAATTTCATACTTAAGACTGGAACCATTGTATCCCATTTTTGGTTAGGATCATGAACTGGATACTTATGAAGATCTTTCTTGACATCTTTCTTATCATCTACAACTCTTGGAGGTCTGAAAAATTTTCTTCTAATGAAAGGATCATCATATGGTTGTATTTGTATCACTTCATCATCAGGTTCATGCTCCACAAACTCATTATCTGAAAGCTCAGAGTCTACATCATCATCATCATCATCATCTGTATTACCATCTATCGATCAATCTTCAGCTATCTCTTCTTCAATCCACTCCATAACTGTCTCCTGACTGTGATCAATGTACAAATTGATCATACCCCCATTCTCATATCCAGCATCAAGGAAACGAACATAATCATTTTCATCTTCCAAGGCTCTTAACCCATTTCTCAGTGAACGTTGTGGAAGACAATAGTACACATTGATTCTTCCATCCTTGACCAACTTCTTCACATACGAGATGAACTCCATGAAACTCATGTTACTGAAATCGACATTGCTAACAACCACTTTTACTGGATTGAAATACACAATCGATTTGGGGACAAAAGAACCTGTATGATTTACTTCGATTGTCAAGTTGGAATCCATTGTGGTGATTCTGTGGAAAGGGTGAACGAACAAAGGAGAAGGAAAGGAACCCTTGATTTTGGGGGAAATAACGAAGGGTAAGGGCACATATATTCCCATAAATCTTTTAACCGGCTAACCTACAATACCCAGTAAAATGGTATTTTTTTCACTAAAAAAAATAATGGTGTTTTTGTACGTTTTTTAAACATTATTACCTTTTAAAGTCATTTTCCCTTATTTTTTTGATAAATTAACCAGGTTTGATACACTTTAAAGTTTTGAATCCTTTGGATTTGCTTATTTAATGTGTGGATTAGGTGAGAAAAACCAAAATGAAACCTAAAAGAATTGAAATAACCGTATAATATTTATTATTAACTAGTTTATAATTTATGGAAATATGGTTATAAAATCAATTAAAATTTTATAGTAAAATATTATAATTATTAATCAATTATTTTAAAAAAATAAGTTTAAAAAAAATATTGATTAAGAAATATACCAAAATTTTAAAATTAGTTATAACTTCAAATTTAACATATAATTATAAAAAGTAATTGTTTTTATATAAAAAAAAAATAATATATTATTTAAAACCTTAAAGTCATTAATTGTGGTTATGATTTATCTAATATATCTCTCTGACACTGGCATAATATTAATGTGGTGTCGTATTAGAATGACACATAGCAAAAAGAGATTAAAACTATTATTTTATTAATATTAATATAGTGATTTTATTAATATGATAATTATTAAAAAAATGGTAGAATAATATGTCTTGGGTTTTAACTGAACCGCGACATCTTCGACTGCGATATGTTTAGACTTTAAATATATTGCTTTGTCTTTACAAATCAATATGTTTAAAGCTTAGACTTTATTAGCATTGTAAAGTTGTAATTGCTATTTGCTACGGTAATTATTTTCAAGTTTTCATTATTATCACTTATTAGACTTATGTATTGGAATTATATTGTTTTTACTGCATATAATTTTAATAAATATTTTCGAGTTTGTTCGTATATTTATAGATGTTTTGGTCTCTCCAATAGAGTTTGAATATTCCTTGAGCATATATACAAGATATTCAGTCAAATTAGTGAATGAAGTTTAGACGTTATAGACCCATCATTTTCAGATGTATATAAGAAAATTTTATTAAACATTAAAAATAATTTAACTTATTACTATGTTTTGGTACCATCTGAATAAATCCAAACATTTTCTTGTTGATCTTCATTTTAATATCGAATAAACTAATAAACAATTTACAGAAAAAACATAAGTTGTTTGGATTACATAGTCCAAAAACACCCCCTAAACTCATGAAGTTTTAAACTTAAAACTTGCTTAAAAGAATATATTGGTAGTACTTAACATGACTATTAATATAATTGTTTATCAAAGTTATGGTTATGTCATTATTTAGTTTTGAAAAGGTTTTGCGGGTTGCCATGTGCCATGCCACATGGCATATTGATCTATGTGGATTATTATTTTGTATTCTTTTTAATTTTTTTTATTATTATTAAAAACAAATACATCCCATCCTCCCTTATTAAATCATCCCCAATATCATGGTATGAGTGCTAAGGTGGAATGATACGAAGGTGGTATAATATGAGATGATGAAGTTAAATGGTATGAAGAAATGATTTGTGTAGTGATACAACGTATTAGAGATGAAGTGGCCCCCAATATTAACAAGTGTAAGATTCGAGCATAAGACAACTCTATTTTGGAACCACACCTTGTATTTACATACAATACAAAAAATACATAAGAAAATTCGTTTCATTCATACACCCAATCAAACACGATTATGGAATGTAACAATTCATTCCATATTATCGCCATTCCATTCTTTCCAAACTATCTATTTTCACGGCGATTCTTCCTCCATTCCCATGGCATTTCAGGATTTGATGAAGCCCACAACCCAATTCTCTTAGCTCTCGCACTTTTCTCCCACTAACATCATCAAAACCAATTCCACCATTTCAGACCTCAAAAAAAACCTCATTATTTTTCTTAACACAATCACAAAACTAAATTTACCTTCGCTAATTCCGGTCGTTTATCATAAGCAGTGTAATGCCATGCAAGTCCTTTCTTCAACATTAATTTCTGTACAAATATGCCATTACAATACATATCCCCAACAAAACGCCCATAACGATCTTCATCAAAGATCAAAATTTTCAAACACTTCCCATCAATTATCTTCACCAATTCATCCTTCGCTTCTTTCCCATAAGGCATTTCATTTTCAGGTGCATCTATTCCCCTGTTTCCACTTACTCATCAATCATATCACCCCAAATCCAAAAACTACATGAAATTAATCTTGTGATATATACAAAATACCTTAGTCTAATCCGATACTTTCGTGCTAAAATTTCCTCGTTATTTATATGTAGCACCCTGTGACATGTAACAAAATTTAAATAAAAAACGTTAATGTCAAAGTTAAAAGCTAGAAATGATTTGTATCACAATAAGTACCCATATCCCGCATCTTTGATTTGCTTGAGCAATTTATCTGCTTTGGTGTAGTCCTCTGGGCACGTGCTTCATTACGTTCAACTGCTGCCATTTGTATTTCTGGTGGAACACGTGATGACTCTCGGGTATCTGAGGTACTAACATACACTGTTGCACCGTCTCCATCTGCTACCGCCCTTGGATCCACCTTTTTTAATCAAGTGAAAATTTGTAAAATTACTAAGAAATTTAGACTGTGATTGTCATTGTTACTGTCATTGTCACTCTAGCAGACAGTTGTTCTTACGGGAAGTGTGTGTAACACGAATTTGAGACCGTCGACAGCCGATGGAGCATCACCTCCGGTCAGTTCATCTAGCGAATGAGGAAGTGGGAGACCGTAGAATGATAATAAGCCCTTAAAAAAAAAATAGAACACAAATTACAAGTCTTTACATAATTTATTTAGGTACTAACGGTTTATTTTGGTTTTGTTTGTTACACTGGACTAAATTTTTAGGGCTATTTTAACGAGGTAAACATTTATATCTTTTGTACAAACGAAAAATTTAAAACCGACATTTTTGGATATGAAAAAAACTGTACTTTTTGTCCAATTATCCCGGGTGGCACAAAAAGCTGTAATTTTTGTCCTTTTAACATCAGTCGTAAATGTCATTTTTTGGATAGATTAAATATAAAATAACATAGGTTTTTTTTTTCTCATTATCTTAGTCTCAATCCAAAAAACTGCAATCTATTAACTTATTCAATCTTAATGGTTTAAAAAAATGTATCTGGTAGAGAAAGAACCTGAATATCAGCTATTTGGCGTGTGTGTAGGATACGAATTACAAGCCTGGAAGCCTCTTCAGGTGTCTTTGGTGGAGGTTTTGATTCCCTCCATGCCTTCGATAGTTTCTTATACCTTCAATTCATTTGTTCAATTGTCAAAAAAACTAACTAATAACGATAAATATTCCATGCCATTTTACATATATACCCCTAGGTTATCGATTTTGACTTTTTGAGAAAGTGGAAACTAGGAAGTGAAATATTACCAATTGGACTGAGCTTTTTTGGATGAACTCACATGCTTACTCAGGCCTTCAGGAACCTAAATGAATCAAACGAGTAGTGAATTGAGTTTTCTTAACCATGTAAATCGATTTTGTTCGAGATTTTTTCAGACACAATCGGTAGTGAATTATGATCGGAAAAGGGGAAGAAGTACCTGGGAGGTGATTTCGAAGTGATAGAGGTGTTGGGCAAGGGCGGAGACACCGACGCTGGATGAAGAAACACCGTGGTGGCCAAGTGGTTGATCACCAGCGCCGCCGTGTGCAGTGGTGGTTGTTGGTGGCTCGCCACAGCATTGGCCATACAGAAGCCTCAATGCATTTCCCATTATTTTTAAACTATGGTTGGTTATCTGCTACCACTTTGGATTTTTTCTGATATAATGATATAGAAAGATAGTGAGAAGGAGAAAGAAGGGGTGTAGGAAATTATTGTAGGCAAAGGACGCAAGGAACATTATAAAAGTAAAAAGTTTCAATCCAACTGATAAAAGCAGCATCTCAAAATAAGATGTTTTTTCATAATATAATAATATGTATATTCAACAAAATAATCGGTTTATTTCCATAAAAAACCCTATATTTTGATTTTTTTTTCTTTTTAGACCTAAAACTTTTTTCTTTTCCGAAAAAGACTCAATTTTTACCTATTACTTGTTATTTTAGACCCCAGGAGATTACCAAAAGGGAAATCAAGTATTTTCATTTCATAAAAAACCTTACATTTTATACCTTTTTCCAATTTAGACCTAAAATGTTTTTTTTTATTTCAAAATAAACTCAACTTTAAAATTGGTTACAACCTTTAACACTAGTTGTATAAGGTACTTAACTACACTGATTTAATGAAAATAAATTTTTTTGTTATTATGCTAAAAGATTATTCTTATCCATGTTATCAAAAAATATTAAATTAACATCAAACTTTTTATTATCGGTAATAATAACATTTTCTATAAATAATATATATCATGTTTAATGATATAATATATATCCAAGATAAAGTTTAATTATATATTTTAGACAAAAATGTTATTATCGGTAATAATAACATTTTCTATAAACAATATATACATGTATACTTTCTTTTTCGGTGTAGTCAACAACTATCTTATATATTTGGTCTTGAAGATTATAATCAATTTTAAAGTTGAGTTTATTTTGAAAAAAAAAACATTTTAGGTCTAAAATGGAAACAACTACAAAATATAGTTTCTTTTATGAAACAAAAATACTTAATTTACCTACTGGTGACCTGCTAGGTCTAAAATAACAAGTAACACATAAAAGTTGGGTCTTTTTCGAAAAAGAAAAAAAGTTTAGGTTTAAAAAGAAAAAAAGTCAGAATATAGAGTCAGAGTCTTTTATAAAAATAATCATTTCAAATACTATTGAACAATCGGGACTGTTTTCCTTTAAATTAACATCATTTTTAGTTAAGAGTAGCTTCTGGGAAGCTTCTAAAAGGCCACCCTCCATGTACCAGTGATCGGTGATAGTGAAATTTAAAGTAATGTTTTGTAGGCTACTTTATTTTTTAGTTTTTTTCCATTGTTATTTGATTAAATCAAAAATAATTTATAAGTTAATTTTAAAAAAAGCTATTTAAATTAGTATTTCAACAAGTTTACTGAATATTTTAAATTCTTCAAAATATATCTTTTGTTAATTATAAAAAACTCAATATTCTACATGTTTTTATATTATTTTACACATTTCAACTAATTTATTAAATAGTTTTACCAAACGTTATTTTTTACATGGAAAATTATCACTATTTGATATTTTTTTGGAGGGAATTTCAAAAAATTGACACAAAAAATCAAATTTCCAGGTATAGATATGGATTCTGCGGAGGTGAGCTCTGAGGGCTCCGCAGAATCAACTTAATCTCCGAGGAATCGATGTGGGAAAAAAGCAAAAAAAAATCTGAAGATCCATTCCACCGAGCTACTTCCGATGAATGAACTCATTCCACGGAGATAGCTCCGTGGAATGGATCTTCAAAAAAAAAATTCCACCTCCCATGGTTCTTTTATGCAAAAGTCTCTAATTAAAAGAGCTATTTTTTTCCACCTCACATTCATTCTAAACATTGTCAAGAAAATTTCATACCATCATAATCTTTCTTGCAAATAATTAGGTGGGGAATGAATATTAGCTCCGAATAATCGATGTGAAAAAAAAAATCGGAAGATCCATTCATCGGAGCTACCTCCGCGGAATGACTTCATTCCTTAGAGGTAGCTCCGCGAAATGGATCTTGAGATTTTTTTTTGCCACATCGATTCCTCGGAGATTAAGTTAATTCTGCGGAGCCCTCAGAGCCCACCTCCGTGGAATCCATGTATATATCTGGAAATTTGATGTTTTGTGTTTACTTTTTGGATTCCCCTCCCCCCCCCCCCCCCCACACACACACACACAAAATGTCTATTAGTGACAATTTTCCTTTTTACATATTACCTTATGTGACAACCCGAAATTTCTTTCGTTCAAATCGTTAAAAATAAACCAATTTGGAATTTATTTCTGCTCTTGCTGTCATTATTTTCAGCTTAATTAACTATTCTAGGCTCGGTCCAACTAAGTTTTGGGTTCAAAATCAAGGTTCCTAAGTCAAAGCATAGCATCCGGGCCAAACACCCCTTCGAGAGGAGTTTACGGCCGCAAACTCGGTTTACGGCCGCAAACTCGGTTTACGGCCGCAAACTCGGTTTACGACAGTAAACCCTGTTTACGACCGTAAACATTGTTCACGGCCGTAAACCCCCACCAACCCTTGGCCGTAAACTCACCCCTATGTAAGGGATGAGTGACCTTCATTTCTCCCTTTACACACTCCAGAAGCTCTCTTTCTCTCTCTCTCTCTCTCTCTACAAACTTCGAATTTGCTCAAGGATCCTCAAGAATATAAGTGATTCTTCACCTTGATTGTGTTTCTATCTCACTTCTAGTGGTAAATCCATGCTCCTATCTCATGAATCTCATCTTTTTCTAGATTTTCTCTCTCACCAAGAACACACACTAGTGTTTTTGGACTCTAACCACCCTTTCAAGCTTCCACTACGTAAGTACACTACCCTTAGCTTGTTGGATACAAGAATCACTTGTTAAACGTCTAGAAATCGTGACCAGAAGGGTGTTTACGGCCAAGGCAATCCCTTGACCGTAAACTCTATTTAAGTGGTGCAAAGTTGCCACAACACCCTCCTAAGCCTAGAACACTTCCAAAAGGCTAGAAAGGACCTCGAAACACCAAAAATCGCACTTTTCGTCAAGTGTTTACGGCCGTAAACCCATGGACCGCAAACACTTGGGCCGTAAACATATGGGCTGTAAACCCCTTTTACGACCGCAAACTCCCCATTTTCAAATCTCATGCGATTCTAACACTTAGTTTTAAGTGTTTCCTAGTCCCTAAGGTGGTTCTTTCCATAACAAATATTGTTAAAGCCCTCACCTAATGTATATATGTGCTTTTACATGTTAAATAGGATCCGTTTGTGCCTGAGGCTTTATTTGACACTCAGCAATTCCTAGCAACTTGCACTCAAATCCCACGTCAAACTGTGAGTTCATACCCTTACATTTTCCGTATTTTTAATGTTTTCAGGGGGGGGGGGATACAAGCTAAACATAAATGTTTTCAAAACTTATGCAAATCTCATACTTTAACCCTTTTGTACTGTGTTGAGCATAAGGGACGTTTTCATTAAAATTGCATAGTTTTCCGGACACGCTATTCACTATACATGCAAACTATAATCGGTATAGTTTGGGATTTTCTAAACATAACGAGTACAGAAACTTTCACTATTAAACATATGCACTAAGACAAAAATAGTTTACAGTTACATCACTACTTTATCATGGTTTTCATAACTGAAATTATCACTACATACGGTATACATACGGATTTTCACTACGGTAGAACGCTACTACACTACATGTAAACTAGATTGTACGATACTGTGAGGTGCTACTTCAATACTGTACCCTTAGGTGTACAGGGATAAATCCTATCATAGTATAACCAGAGTCTCCTGGAGGGAGAGCGTGAGATTTGTGAATAGATCTATTCGGGACTGACAATCCCACATCTGAACTGCTAGCTACATTTAGGCGGGCACGCCTGGGGTGTTCAAATGTCATTTAATTCGACGCCTGAAGAACGTTGGAAAGTTCTGTAGTCATATCAAACATGGTTATACGACTCACAATATGTATAAATCGCCTTTAGTTTACAACCTGGCACTCTTCAACAGTTCTATTTATACTAAATAGAACTAATATACACTACGACTGGAAAATTTCCAGGGTTTTCAAACAGAACCGAGCATACAATGGTTTAACATACGAAATACTTATACATCAAGATTAGCATTAGCTAGTCACATGAAGTATTATTTTCGTGCATCACTACAGTTTCCAGTAACGAATATTCACGATTTCATACATAATTGAGAACACTACATTTTCACTAAAGAAAATATCGGATTTTCTTGAAACAATACAAAACACTTTTACGAACTCATCAACGATTTTCCATTACAAATCACCGCTTATGAACTCACCAGCTTTATGCTGATATTTTCAAACTGCTTGTATTCTCAGGAAATCAGTAGACAGGTACTTGCTGGATTTTTGAGAAGCTGGAGCAATAAGAGTTTTATATATTTATACTTTACAAAGCTAGTTGATGTAATTCAAACAAGTATCAGACAAAGTTTCAAACTGATGTAAACATTTTCATATAAGTATTCACTGTAATGGTTGTGTTGCTATGATTGCTATTTATTCATTGGTTGTGATGCTACACATGACGTCCTCCACCCCAGAACGTTTCCGCCATTCTGGTTTTGGGGTGTGACAGATTGGTATCAGAGCCCTTGTTTATAGCGAACTAGTATACCGAACCTTACGTGGTATACAACTATAAACACTAAGGGGCCTAAGTGCTCTACGCTAAAAGTATACTTTCAAAAATATGAGTATTTTTATAAAAAAAATATACGAGCATGCATACATAACAGAATTCGTGTCACTAGTAGAACAAAACAAAAAGTATTTGGATGTTGGAACGCTGCGGTTAAACCTGGGCAGTTATGTAATCATGTCTAGGGTGAATATAGCCTGATCAACTATATTCAGTCGAGACATGACCAACATGTGCTTGGGAGTGACTGTGGTGTTACAGCAGGCCTAAAACTTACCAAAATCATCTCACATAAAATACTATAGGAGTATTTTAGCCAGAGCCAAACTCAGTATACAGGTTCACTCTAAGCGTTGCTATCTCTTCTTCCTTAAGCGATAACTTACTTGCGTTAGTAACCTTTCTGTGCTTATCGCTCGGTAGTATACTTTTATTATCAGGATGAGATATATTTTGTTTTATATATATCTCGAGGACTTACCATCCTCTTCTTCCTGATTGTTTCTAGA